CGGACTAAAAGGCGTGGCAGTAGACACATGTATTTCTGGCCACACGTTTCAGCTCTTCATTTTTGAGGAGTTCTGTCATAATAATTGTACAGAACGCCTTTTCAGAAAGTTTAGCGAAAATAATGTAAATTCTTTTATAGATTTGGTATCCAACACAGATTGGAATAATTTGCTCTACGATATTCAATCTGACGACTTAGATAAAAAATTTAACACTTTTTACGAAAAACTGAAACAAATATTTATGTCAAGTTTTCCATTTACAAAAAAAGGAAAAGTCTCGAACAGGAAAAAAACCTATTGGTTTAATAGAGAATTAAGAGAGCTGAGTCGTGCGGTACACGAGATGCATCAAATAAACAAAAGAATAAAAAATGATCTACATAATAAAAAATACAAAGGACTTAAATCCCATTACAACAAAAAACTTAAACACGCAAAGTAAACTCACCACAATTTAAGGTTAATGAAATCTGATAACATAAGTAGGGAAAGTTGGGCAATGGTCAGCGAAAATAGCAACCATAAAAGTAAATCCTCTTCTATAACCAACATAACCGTTGGTGGTGAAACACTACAAGACGGATACAAAATCTGTGAAATTTTTAACAAATATTTTGCTGATCTTGCTAACAATAGCAAGCAGCCTCAAAATCTAACGCCTGATATTAAAATACACTCAAGCTCGATGTTTCTCTACCCTACTACAACAGTAGAGATAACACAAGTAATTAGAAAAGTATGCCGTAAGAAATCATCTGGAATCGATGAAATACCGGGCACTTCGTTAATCTCTATTAAAGATATTATAGCTCCTATTCTATCATATTTAGTCAATTTGAGCTTCCTCCGGGGCAAGTATCCACAGGCCTTAAATAAGTCAAAAATCGTACCTATTTTTAAAAACAAAGGCAATAAAACCAACATAGAAAACTACCGGCCCGTAGCTCTTCAATGTCAAGTGGCAAAAATTTTTGAGTCCTGTTATAATGACAGACTGCAGAGGTTCCTTGAAAAATACTCTTTGATTTCTGATGCTCAGAACGGATTCAGAGCCAACCGCGCCACAAGTACAGCTCTGGACTATGCGCTGGAGCATATCTACAATAGCCTTAATAACAAAACAGCCACCTCTTACATCTTACCTCTACGAGAGAGTACAGCAGGTTGTGATCGGCGGTTCAAAATCTAGCCCTCAATATGTAGGCAGAGGTACTCCGCAAGGATCCTGCCTATCACCGCTCCTCTTTAATTGTTTTATGAACGATCTACCTCAGGATAATATAGATGCATTATTTGTACTGTATGCAGATGACGCAAGCATTTTAGTTACAGATAAAAGCAGAGCTAATTTAAAAGGGGCCGCAGAACCAAGGGTCACGAGGGTGAATGAATGGTGTCGCGATAACGGACTACAATTAAATAAATCTAAGTCAATAGCTATGGAAATAGTCACAAAAAATACTCGCGTCGATTCCAGTATTCTTCTCTAATTAGAGGAACGTTCAATAGAAAACGTGGAGGCTACTAAGTTTCTCGGTCTGCACATTGACAACAAACTTACATGGAATCATCACATCGACAACATATTGCCCAAATTAAGCTCCTGCTCATACTTAATCCAAAATATTCGAGATACGGTATCCATTGAGGTTTTAAAGCAGGTGTACTATGGGCTGTTCCAATCAGTGATAGGCTACGGTATAATCTATTGGAGTCTAGCCACTGGTGCACACCGGGTCTTCTTATTTAAGGAACTTCAGATCATGACACTTCCATCATTATATATTTATTCCGTTTTGATTTACATCAAAAGTAACATGATAAGATGGAATAGGAGATGTGACTTGCACGAACATGACACACGGCAAAAAGATTACTTGGACGTTCCATTCTCTAGACTGCATATCGGGCAACAAAACCCAAGGTATTTTGGTTTGAAAGTATATAACAGAGCTTTACATTTCTATAAATGCTTCGAAGAAACTGTGTTTAAGAAAAGCATTAAGACCTTTTTAACTGATAGGTGTCTCTACTAGATGATTTTTTTTAAATGTATTTTTTTAAATGTATTGTTTAAACACTGTATTTTAATGTGATGTGACGTGCTTATTATACCCATATAAGTGTTATATGTAGTATCGAAAAGCGAAATAAATATCTATCTATCTATCTATCTATGATCTGCAAGCAGTCAAAAAAAGAAATACTGAACCAAATACCACAGGGTGTGATGGAACTCTCATTAATGCTATAGTTTATCTAATATGTTAAGCGTAATTAACCTACGGAATCTAAATACAAATTTTAAATGTTAGTCAGGTTATTTCATTTGCTAAATTCCGAGGGCAAGTCGTTGTTATGACAGTGCGAAAGAACATTAAGGAGTGAAATTGTCTACTTTGCTCCATAGTAAGTCACTATGCAACTTATTGTAACCTTAAGAATTTGTTTGTAGTAAGCTTAGATTATATATATCCAGAAAAACTCCGCGACAAGTATCTATCTCACCACGTAATGTTGATCGGGCTTTATTAGAAGTGGTTAGAAGTTTTTCCTGCTGGTTTTCTGGAAGACCGAGCTTTGATTTTATTTTGAACAAACTCGACCTATACGAAAAAGCGTATGTTTCGTATGTTGGACAACATCGTAAGAAAACACTTTTGTGCCCAGTGGGTCTATTTTAATTTAACGTTTTTATATTGAACATTTAGCCGCAAAGAACATTTGCCAAACCATCCCACATTACCAACCTATTCCATGTGAAACGGGAGGTTTTAAAGTAAGAGCCCCCAATATAACACTTCCATTTGACATTATTCGAATAAATTCTCGGCTATCTTTAACTCAATCAAATTGTCCTAAAAACTAAGCGCCGCCATAATATCCTTCTAATGTTGACCCAACGGAGAGTGGTAAGCCGTTTCATGCAAATTAAATAACTCCTTAAAGTTACGAGCGTGGAACAAAGATGTGTCGAGTGCAGAGCATTTGGAAACTAACGGACATTTATGACGGCGCTAATTCTGTTTACCGTTATTGGTTCCGCAATATATTCAAGTAAGGGGGCAATATTCATAATTTGATTCAACAATTTGCTTGTACGCATACTCCAGATTTAATTAGAGCTAATTAATAGCTTCGAAGTTTGATGGAGTATGGTATAATAATATAAACAACAATATTAATAATAACATTCTGGCAGGAGTGATTACAAGAAGTGTCATGACAACGTAGCTGTAACAATCTATTAGACTGTATGTGAAAGAAATACCAATATTATCAATACAAGCCTAACCATGTGGTGGTGAGAGAAATATATTATCAAATAATAGTAGCAGAGGACTAACTTTCTTCTAGTCACATTACGTATCAATGTATAAAAAGCAAACTGTGTGAAAATTTTAAGAATAAACTACTTGTTTAAATGATAGGTAGACAATCGTTTATTTGTCCCAAAGTTGACCATGACCAAAAAACTAAAAATGAAACATAGCCCAATGGGGGTAAAAAAATATATATAGAACATAGCCTAAACGGCCATCTGTAAATGCAAATACATATACATTGATTAAAATTAATTAAAAATTAATTAAAATATGTTTTGTTTCGGTTGTTACCAAACGTAATGTATGAATTCACCTTAGTATAGCAAATCAGTGTCTTTTTGCTTGTGAGTAATAAGATTTGAACAAACCCTTCTGAAAATCGAATTGACTATAAATTTTTCCAACACAATCAAATATATTGCACACAGGATTCCAATTGTTATGCTCGGTTCAAAAACTCTGAGCAATAAATATTTGACATATTAATCTAAACTGAAACTCTGTTTTGAATACTCATACGTACAATCTTGCTCCAACATTTCCAATACGTTTCGTATCACGCGTATATACAAAGCAGCGGCAGCTCGTAGTCTGTAGAATGTTCCGCGTGCAAAATGCCTTTTAACATTCGTAAACAATTTAAATTTTACGTTTCAAAGATAAAAGCTCTCTTTAATGTAATTCCACGATAGCGCAAATAAAAAAAATGAATAGTTCGAAAAGCATGCGAGTTGGCAACGTATTTTCGGATGTTTACATATATAAAAGTTTTGCGTTGAATGTCACCGTATCCGAAAATAGTTTTAAATTCGGTGACTCCGGTGATACATTTTTACGGGAAATTAAGCATTCCTCGTCATTCGATAAAAGACAGACGCGTTTCCTCCTAAAAAAAGTCGATGTTTCGGACAAGAAACGTACACCAAAACTATAAAATTCCTTTAATCAATTTATTTTTGAAAGTCGACGTCATAACCTGAAGGATCTTGATTTGAGAAACATGTTCGATAGACGACATACAAAATTTTAAATTAGTCCCATCGGATATTTGAGAGAATATCTGACTTCAGCATAACGCCAAAAATAAGTTTTTAAACGAAACCTTTCAAAATTACAATTATTATAAAATTGTTTACAAAAAATTGTCCCACTCACAGAACATTTCCAAAAACGTTTGTTTCATTCATCGCACTAGGTACTAGGTATTATAATATTTTGTTTTGTTTGTTTTGCAAAAAGGATCATTTAACGCATTAACGACATAAATAAATAAAAAGTAACAGTTCGGGAACAAATTTAAAAGAATAAAAAAAAAACCATATACATTAGTAATATGAAACAGGCTTAATCTCATCATTAATATTCACTTGTAGCAGCAATTTAGTATTAAATAAGGTTCTGATTTAAATTAATAACTATGTCACAATGCCTGATCATTTTTTTTTATTAATTATACGCTGTTATAATACTAATTACCACTCAGGTATCTTTATTTATAGAATGAAATGACGCTTGACAGTTTTTCTAACAAAAGCTTACCAATATTTAATGTAGGGTTAATTTTGCCGCGATATTTGAAATAAGTCACTAGTCCCATAAATACATATTTTTAAAATTCATCGAAAAATAGAACTCTGTACCGCTAAAGAGGAATCGAAAGATAGTCAAATATGTAGTTAATAAAATATAATTATTATAATAATATAATATTATTAATATATATAATAAATATAATACTACATGGCTTTAAAAGTTCTTATTCTACAAAAGTATTGCACCATCGTCGTTGTCTAATGAGGGAAAATCAAATTCATCTATAATATTTTCGTCCAGAATTCCAGGCTCCACTATAGGTAAAATGGGAATTGAGGGATTTAGGGGTAGTGGGAGTGGAAGATCAATTTCGCATGACGGTTTGGGTTCTTCAGTTGTAGTTGCTTTGATGTCAATCAATCCTGTTGTTACGTTGGTTGAATTGTCACCAGTGGCACCTGAAACAAATTCAGAATTTCGCTGTAAGCTAAAGTAAATAAATTAGGTAAGCTTTAATTTGACAAATATAATATTCACTGGAATTAATGTGAAAGAAAGTTATTAATTGTAAAATGAAAAATCAATAATTCAAATGACATATCGTTCATCAGGAACAAGTTTTGCTTAATATACTTATAATCCTTATGCAATGGGTTCTAAGAAGCACCCATTCAAATACATAGACTTAGTTTGAGCATTAGTTTGAGTCCTGCAAACGTACATCGATAAACTGACAGTTGTAAATTAACATTGTATAATTAATTTATGATTTTTTTAGCATTATGTAAACTTCAGAATGTAAACCACATTGATTGACATTGACATTGATCTCTTGCATGCATTTTCATGATGTTTCTGTGAATTCTTCCACTAGCTTGGCATATTCTTTTACTGAGTTTACTACTTTCTAGTGCTCTATGCAAAATACTTGTACGCAGACTATAATTGAAAAATGTTCTTAAAATACACTTTGTTTGTTTGCAAATTACAAATAATTTATAAATAAAGGAGTACTTGTACTGAAGTGAATAATAATTTATTATCAGCATGAAGTAATTAGAAATGTATATTAGCTATTGGATATTGCTGGGCAACGTTTAAATTTGACATCGCGGTTAACGGTAGCAAATACTCGCAGATGACTAAGGTCAACGCAGATATTTTATGTCCATTATTTAATTTTTCGTTGACGCAAGCCGACAACTTGTTCATAGTGGATGTAGATGGTCTAACCAGCATAAAATTAGGTTACGTTTATGGGAGTAATGTTGGGAACTTACACGATATAAAAAGTTCGAAATTTTATTCGATTTACGTTCATATAGTTGTACCTATATGCGCCCTTCCCATGTTTCAACTTTATATAACAATTTCTTATGGAAACTTACTATGCAAAAGAAGAAAATACTTACTTTCAACAATTGTCACATTTTTAGCGGCGAGAATTCCAAAAATGTAGAACATTAAATGTGTTCGACATTTATACATTCTGGTACGTAGTGAATAACAAACTGTTTTACTTGTAGTTGCACTGAAAATATTATGTTATCTCTCGACCTTAACGGATAATTTTTTCATTAAATGGGCGTTTCGTTGATTAGCTATAAGGGCATTTGCCAACTGGGCGTTGTGTTGCACCTAATTTTTTTTGTAACGTTCTGGTTTTCTACATAGTGCAGGTAACTTTTCCGATTAGTTCAATAGCGTAAATTTTATTGGAAATTTCGTTTACAAGAGGTTGTGCTGATACCGCTATTTGACATAGTTGTTGCTATTATTTGAAATGAACAGGAGGACTTTGTGATATTACATTTATTTTTTTGAAGTTTTCTTGACCTTAATACTGTAAAGTACACATTCTGGGGACCATGATCGTTGCGAAGTATAATAACAAGTTGTTAAATAATTTCGAATACAATAAACTAAATGTTCCATAACAAATAATATAAAAATAAAAAGTATAATTGGTCTTCGGGCAATTTGTAATAATTGCACTAGCAATTGACTAGCAATTTGGTAAAATCCTTTCAATCAATCAATCAATCATTCTTCTTCTAAAATTAAGGGTCAAAACGGAAGATACGAAATTTAAACCTCCCTATACAAATTAGAAATAAACAAATTCATTGAAAAAATGGTGTAGTCTATGTAGAAGTAACTTTAGGGAGAAAACTAAGTTTTAAAAGCTATATAGATCGATTTTAAGAAAAAATTGGGATAATAATAATAATATAATAAATATCAAATATCGAAATGCAGGCAGATATCCCTGGATAACCTAACACAGACTATAGGAAGGTATAACGGGTTTCATTGCGTACGCGCGGTACAGGCAACTACAGCCGATGGGAATGGAAAAGGCAGGTAATTTATGAACATAATCGAATTAGGTATTTAGTGGTTTCAAAAAAATTTCCGAAGTTTAGTTATTTTTCTCCTTAGCGTTTTTACATACATAAAAAATTTGTCCTCGGTTTTCGGCCGACATGGATATCTTTTTCGTTCTAACGATTTATGTACGAAATACTCTTAAATATCCTTTTTAACTAATGTTCGTTCCAAAATCTTAAACTGATTTAATACATAATTTCGTGTTCATAATTTAAATATTAGACTTATAGGTTCCAGAACTCCTCCTCTACATAAAACAACACTATTTGAGCTTAGTTTTTCATTTAATATAGCTAAATTGTATAATAGTCTTCCTAACAACATCAAACCCCTGACTCCAAGTAGATTTAAATTTTATACCTTCAGATATTTTTTCGAAAAGTAAACTTTAAAAAAAAAAAGCACAGTCTATCTTTAACAAACGTGAGCAAAATAGGATGCATTAATAAGTGTGAGAAGTAATTTTTTTCTGTTATTATCGCCATAAAAAAAAGAGTTATTGTTTCTCAATCCGTTTTGTTAAATAGATCAGGGTGGCTAACATACCGGATTTCGCCCATTTCTGTGAGTCTATATATATATATATATATATATATATATATATATATATATATATATATATATATATATATATATATAGATATATATATATATGACACTATATTCCGGGATATCATCCGTTCGCTCGTTGAACTCCGACTGGAATCCTGCATCCGACTGGAATCCTGCAGACGTTTCGCCAAAATCTCACTTGGCATCTTCAATGCTCGCGCTCCGAAAACACTTCGAACACTCGGAGCGCGAGCATTGAAGATGCCAAGTGAGATTTTGGCGAAACGTCTGCAGGATTCCAGTCGGATGCAGGATTCCAGTCGGAGTTCAACGAGCGAACGGATGATATCCCGGAATATAGTGTCATCACATTTTTCCATCCGTGAATCAATTCGTGAGAATATATATATATATATATATATATATATATATATATATATATATATATATATATATATATATATATATATATATATATATATATATTTCGTGAAAGAAAACGGTTATTTGTAGAAAGTATGGATATACAGAAATAAAGACATATTATTATTATTATATCTTGGAAATAATTTTTTTCTGTATTTTGTTAAATACTGCAACAAGTTGTATTTCTATGCTAGGTATGCACAATCAGCCAAGATATATAAAACAGTTGGTTAAAGCAACTGTGAGAGGCATTTCAAATTTGAATTCAATGATTTGCAAAGGGCCATCGCCCCGCTTCATCTCTCCCGGAATTATCTTTTCCATGCGATGGTGATTGTGCTTATTATTATATTACTACGTTTCTCTCATCTACGTTTGAATCGTTACCTTTATGCATATTATTTGCAAATATCTATTTTCGTTATTCACGATTGTATCCGGTAGACCCCAAGCAGAGAAACGGAGCGTACAATAACATTAACTCGTGTGCCTCTTCTGGCAACTTGTCTATTTTCGGTGCTTTAGCGTGGACGACAAAAATAACATAGTATTTAAAAAAGGAACGCCAGGCACTCCCTAAAAACGCAACAAAGATAGAACTTTATAATTGGATTTCATTCATTGTAATAACAGTTTTGGGCATTTTTTTTCCGTTAAGCTGGAAGCTACAAACGATGAAAAAAAAATCAATATTAAAAGGAGTCGACATCAATTGGATTTTACAATTTCAGTTGGCAATGAAGCTTCGTCGATTAATTTAAACACTAGAAAGGAAAAAATAAGCAACTTTGCATCAACATCAGCCAAATTGTTTTTTTTCATTTTGTTGCATTTTTAAATTGACTATAAACCGTGATAACTATGAACACCTTGTATAAAATTTTTTGGCATTTTCGTATTCCACTTAAAAAGTTGTTTATTAAATGGTTCTTTAAGTTTGAATTCTTAAAATAAAAAAATTAAATCGCATTGTTTATTGTTGCTTAATCTTTGCAAACGCCTTCTAGCAGTCGAAGATGTGAGATCAAATAAGATGTGGTTACACACGAAAATAATTAGTTTTGTTGACTTTGTAAATTATTCCTAATTTGAACACCAACGCAAACGCGTTGGTTGCATTTTTCCATGTCATTGTTTGCCTATACCGTTGTTACTGTCGTGACTCTTTTATTTAGAGCGTTTGTTTTGCAGAAGTAATTAAAAACTGGAGTATTTATTTCCAACTTCAGTTCTCGTAACTAGTTAAATTTGTGATTTTTACTTCGCGACAGAATTTGCCAAATCGGAAACTAATTTAATTAACTAAAAAAAATTAAAATTACTTGGTAAAATACACAAGCCTTCAATTTAAGCAAAATAGCAAACGTCTTTTATATAATTTAAATACTATCAGCAGACTATATCATTTCTTTTTCGTCTCCTTATAACCAGTGTTTCGTTCTGTGCTTATATGCTTATATATTTTTTTCTGTATGAATGATCATGACAATTATATAATAAGAGACGACGAAATTGAAATATGAAAACCATAAATTTGAATTTACCGAAGTAGATAAATTTGGTGGACAAATTTGACTGTAAACAAAATTTGAGTGTTTGATATTATTATTAAATCAACGTGAAATATAGGTATTTAGTTTTAATCAAATTAGTTTGTTGATAATACAGTTCCGCAATAAAGCTGAAAACAGGTATTTTGCTAAAAATGCAAGGATTGATATGATTGCTGAAAGAAATTTTTCATTTTATCTGTATATATTTATCTGATCATAAACAGATTGCTAATTGTATCTGATTGATGCTATATCTTCAACCCTTATTTACTTTTCTAGGTCAAGAGCTCCGGTAAAGATGCCTATAAAATCTAATTTAATTAAATCATGTAAACAATGCTGTTAATGAATCTTCCCAGATACTTGGTTTCATTGGGAGAAGTTTCATCCAGAAGTATCCATTAACGCCCAAACATCGAGAAAAAAGGGTCGAGTTTTGCCAATGTTGGACAAAATTAACGGAAATGATGCTTAGTAAAAAAATGTTTTTTGAACCAACGGGTTATTGTTTTCAAGTAGAGGTATGACAAAATTTCTGGATTCCTCCTGCGTCGGTTTTTTGTTGACTCGAACTTGCTAACGTTTCGCCAATCATCCTGTTGGCTTCTTCAGAGCTAAACTGAAACTCTTTTGCAGTATTACAGTAGCCGGTGGAAGTTTCTTTGAAAAATTAACAGGATAATAGGTCCTTATTTCTTCGACTTTAATTTAAACGGCAGTGCTTATTTAAATGATCTTCAGAACAAATTAGAAAACCATACGCACGAGCTCCCATTGGAATAACTAAGGAACCTGGTCTTTCAAAAAATCTATTTAAATCAAAGGTTTAATGAATGGGTTGGAAAAAAGGGAACAATAAAATGGCCACAAAACAACCCTAAAAGATCGTGTAAACGCAAATACCATCGAAAGCAGGGAACATATAGAAAACCTGACTAGAACAGAAGTTCATATACTAACTGAAGAATATTCATTCCCAATCTATCACTGCCACTTTAGAAAAAAAAAAACAGTTTTATAATTCCATTTGTAAAACTAATTTCCTACATATTATATTATACCTACCTAAAAAATAAGTTCTAGAGTATTATTTAATGTTGCGATTAAGTTAACAAATATTTTGAAAACTATTGAATATAGGGCTAGGATACAGGTATTAGGAAATAATTAGATATTAGGATATAATATTATACGAAATGTTCTCTTCCTTCAGGCTAGGATGGATGTTGGTTGAAATTTTTTATAGATTCCATGAAAGTTTTTTTTATCTAAAACGTGCAATCGGGGGTTAATTTAGCCCTCTTATTCGGTTTAATGAACGTTTCCACAATTCATTGTATTTCTCTTTCCGAATAAGGCATTTTATTTATGATAAAAGGAGCATAGTTTTGCTAAATCTATAACTGTCACTGTCAGTTATAAACAAAGATTTTGTTTTTTGGTGTCCGCCTACTTCACAGCCATCTAAGATAGAAATAATAAATTCTAGAATAATATTGAATGTTGTGTTTATATTAAAAGGGTATAATCTGAAAAACTATTGAATTGGATTGGAGTATAGGACATATTATACAAGAAATGTTTTGGGATTTGATTATGCGAATAATATACAGGCTGTTCCATTAAAAATATTTTTATT